CAGTTACAATACTAAAGAGATTTTCCAACGTTATAAAATGATTTGAAAATTGATCGCAACTTGCTGGTTAAATAGTCCTTGAAATTCAATTTTGTGTAAAAAGGGGGGAATTCTATAGAATCCTTGAACTATATTATAATGGTACCTATAGTTAAATTATCTATTACCTTGTATGTTTCCGTAGATTTATTTGGGGATATATCCTACATTTGATATAGTACTCGATGAAACTAAACAATAATTTGTTTTTTAAAGCATAACTTATGGAATAATTAAAAATACATTTATTTAATTATAGGTAATTTCTAGTGAAGACAAACATTTAATTTAATTTAGTGTCAAATAATAATGATTGAAACCAATTAATTTATTGGACTGATATAATACCATGTACTTCGTGTACAATAAAAATAAACATGAGTTTATAATAACTTAAATAGGTACAGTGACTTATGAATATTATTGTGATGTAGGCATGAATATAATAAATATAAATTTTGTTATTTTGATTACAAATTTTAAGTTTTTGTTTATTGCATTATTTATTCTATATTATGTTAACATAGTATTTTAAAAATTATTATTAAAATAATTTAGAACAAAAATTAAAAAAAATGTTTCTTATAAAATAACGCTAATGATAATTATAAATTTAATTTGTCCTACGTGCTAAGAAAAATATATAATATACAGTTCATATATCCACATAATACATTATCTTCAACCGTTAATAATTCGTTTTTAGCCAATTAACCAACCAAGTACCGTTAGAATGGACAAAGATAGTTATAAGAAATAATTTATAACTTTGTATGCTACATGCACATAAATATGGTTCTTATTGAATATTATTAATTTAATAAGTATATAAAAGAATACGAAATTAGAAAAATATTTTATGATAACTTAAACTACATAGTCGTATTTTACAGAATACGGTGTTTTTACATTTATTTTAGATATTTTTTATTTTTATTGGTCAGTATTTTTATAAACAGATAAATTTATGAAATATTCAATAAATGTTTTTTGATTGTAAGACGTTGTGTAAAGGAATATTTGATAATAATTCATTTAATAACATTTATAATTTCTTAGTAACAGAAAATCGTTAAAATTTACCATAATAATTTAGAAGTAAAATCATCCGTCACGAACTATTGTCACTATTAGTTATGTATGAGAATTTCATTTGAAATTGAAATATATTTATTGAAGTTTCAAATAAGTAATCGAAATATAACACTGTGTTTGCAAAAAATACACACGGTAATAATTAAAAATTTGTCTATACTAAAACGCACGAGGACGTGGTCCGTTCAATGACCGGCGATGACTGCGAAGTGCGAGAGTGCGAGACTACGAGTACTACACTGCTGTTGTGGCGGTGTGTCAGTTCAGTTGAACCTCCAGAAGCGCATATGTACACGTTATGCTCAGTAAATGTCCTATTTATTACACCTATGTAGGTGCGTACTAATATTTTAAATATATCTAGAAGATAGATTAAACCGGTTGAAATATTATTAGAAGACAAAAAAAATGAATCTAATTTAAGTTATAAATTATTTCATTCAATAATATAAAACCCATAAATTAATAATATCATACAAAAATTATTTAATTGTTAGTAACTAGATATAATCCGGAAATACCTAATATGTTTAAACATTTTTAGATATTCGACAAACACAAAAAAAAAAAAAATCGTCATGTAAGGCATTGAGCATTTATTGATAATATTATACGGGAGATCAATGTGTGACGGATGACAAGTGAATTAAAATATTTTGATATATTCAAGCACTCAACTGTTGACTATTGTTATTATAGTTGTTTCAACGAATTGGAAGGAAATTGTGTGCTAATATTAAAGACTACTTGTCTCCCTTTCACTTTTCTTTTTGTTCAGATAATGATGTATACTTTGAAAAGTAACTATATACCTATACTGTTTAGTCCACACAAACAAATTCACACATATTTTGTTAGTAGTTTAAGATCAAGATTATAATACCCTATAAAACACATTAATAAATGTTTGGCATTTGAAATAATAAAAGGCACAAATGCATGGTACAGAAATAAAAGTTGTAATTATTATTATATATTAAGTCTATCATATAATTCATAGAAAGAACCTATGATTTAAAGAGAAATTATAATAGGTAATAATTAGGTAAAAAAAAATGATAGTTGAAATTTTAAGTTTTAAATGAGAACTATTATTAGAAACCTAGGGTACCTAGTTATAAAAAATATGAAAAGAATTTTCCATCTGTTAAGAATATAAGTATGGAAATATCCACTATATTTTATCATATTACTGATACCTAGTGTTTTTTAGAAATGTTATATTTAGAGGTACTAAACTGAGTTTCTTTGTTTTTTTTTTTAAATTTTAACTGCACACAATTTAGATGTATACAGAGCTGTGTTAAGAGTAGAGCAAAAACTAAAATAAAAAGGAGTAAGCGCTCTACCATGTTATAAATTTTATGAGTATTCAATTAAAAGAAAAATATAATATATATGTATGCAATTACTAATGTTTTATAATTCTATTTTTATTTTTTTGCTTTCTTAGAGATAAAAATGTATGTAAAATTAATTTTAACTTCTCAAAAAGATATATTAAGTTTTTATTTATGTTGAATAGTGGTGCCGAATAATATGATTCCCTAGTATGCTGATGATGAATGGTAGACACAACCTTGCAGGTAGTTTGTATTTATTATGTTTAGTCCCTTCTTTTTAATAATTTAAACTACACTTATTGTATAATAAATGTATTAGTAGTACAATAGTTTGTATTTTTAAAAGATACTTAAATATTAAATAAATCTTTACACAGGTTTTATGGACAACTACCTGTATCATAATAAATTTTAAGTAAATACCATTAATATAATATATTTAAGATTTTATTTATGTAAGTGATGATTGCATTAAATTCATATTGTTATTAAGTACTATAGAACAATTAATGTATAATAGCATCTATGTTTTTAACCTGATGGCTAGATAATATGAAAAAGAATATTTCAAATATAATGAAGTATACATGAATTGGGGAATAATTTTTCCAATAATATAATAGTAAAATAAGTAAAATAGTAGTATCAGTTATTAATTTGTAAATAGTGTAAATATTTATGATATTAATAAATTGTATAGATGTAAATTCATCAAATAATTTTTCCTAATTGATAAATTACCAATTTTAACTACCTAAGTGTATGGTTTCCAAATTAATAAATATTAATGATTATAGCAAAGGAAATTGTTCTGCTTAAACTATTAATTGAATTAAACTTTTTATACTTAATGGGATAACTTTGTCAAGATTTCAACAAAATATTTTAATTAAGGTAGATATAAGAGATTTTTAATAAATTTACAAACAATTAAAAATATACATTAAATATTGAACAATCCACCATTCTCTCAAATATTTTACATACATAAACCGCACCTGAACAGAGGTATGAAGTTTATACACCTAGAGTAGGATAAATATAAATTATTCTAAAAAAATGTAAATTTATAATAAATTACAGTGGAGTCACAAAATAACTCAAAAACCTAACTTAATTTTTTTCTAGCATTTTTTAAGAGTTTATAAATTGTAATTGAATTGTACTTCAATAAAACTAAAAAAAAAAACAGAAGTCAAATTAATTTTTATCTCTTATGAGATTTAAGTTATCAAGATTCTAATAACTAAAATCAAGGAAAAAATATAGATTATTAAATGTATATTGAAATATAATGTCTCCACTAAGATGTCTTTATACACTTTCACATTAAATATAAATAATTAATAGCAGTAGGGTTAATAATTAATATTTTATGATAACAAATTAAAACATTAAAAAATAAGAAAATGTTCTATGTGTAAGAAAAAGATTCTTTAATTGACATTTCTTATCCATTAATAGACATTTAATTTACTATACCTAATAATATTATGTTTATTTTAAAAATTGAATTTCAGTATTAAATTTTGTGGATTTAACATACTATAATTAGTTTTAAAGTCTTTTAAAATAAATTAATAACGAGGTCAATAACATAGATATACATCACACTTTAAACTACATACCCGATATAGTGGCTAGCCAACATCATATAAACATGATTGTATTATATAATAAAATATAATTTTATAAACTATATGAAGTAATTAATTTTTTAATACTACTAGATTACATATTATATTTACTTAAACATAATATATTGAAACATTAATTAATAATAAATATATTAATCATGCTTATTGGATTTTTGGATTACATTTAGTTACTTAGTAGTGGAGCGATAACAAATAAATAACATTATTTTTTGATGTTTGTAACATAAACAACAATATATCATTGAACTACCTCATTATTATTTTTTTTTTGTTTTAGTAGATTAGTGAATACAATAATTCATATTTTATAACTAATTTTTTTAATAATAATGCATCAATGCATATTTTGAACGATCAATTTATACCTAAAATGTTTGACGGAGTTACACTAACATTCTATTAAGTCTTAAGTATATTGTTCATATAGATATGATTTGAATAACTATCAATTTTTTTATAAATGACATAGAATAGAATATTTTATGAAAGTTAATTTAGGATAATGAAGATAATGCTAGGCAGTTGAAATAAACGATATCCTAACTTTATAAATAAATATACCTAAAATAATAATAGTTAAAAATATTTTTTGAAAAAGCAAGTATATAATTATGTGTGGATGAATGAGAATACAAAAGAAAATTAAATTCAAAATTAAACATAAAAACAAACTTTATTTACAGAAAATTTCTATTAACATTTAAAATAGCAAAATAAAATAAATATAAATTTGATCAACAATTATAATATGAAGATAGTTAATTATCAAATTAATAATACTAATCGAATTGAATTAAAATTTGAATCAATAATTATAATTAATTTCTAATGAAATTAAACGTATATGCTTTTCCAAAGTACTTACTAATTTTAATTTGTTGACCCAACTGTGATTAGAATTTTCCAGGACACGTCACGATCGAACACATTTGTAAATTGCAATTTACATCTAAGTACTCGGATAAGCTTAATTATTATACTTATAACTAAAAAATAATTATAAATTACGATTATATACTATATTATAATGCAAGTAAAAAAAGAGTTGAAAAAATGCAGTACAAAAATTATATTTATCGAAAAGCTTATCGATGTATTTAAATTATATTATATTAAGTAGTTTTTATCAAAATAATAATTATTGAACTTTCTAATTTTCCAACATTTTCGGAACGATTCGAAACGTTCTAAATCAACACAAAACGTTTTACAGTGTATTGATTAAAATTTGATAATTGTTACATTCTATTCAATGGGTAAAATCGACAAAGCGAAAGCAGTAGGCACAATTATTAAAATGTGCTACATTTTTCAATAATTGAAGTCTTATAAAACTTATTTTTACATATTTCAAGTTAGATGATTTAATTTGATTTTTGACTAATATTCTACTAATAAATACGTTTTTCCAATATGCTCGGTAAAATTTCCAAAGAGAATACGAATGCGATCAGCTGAGATATTTGTTTATGCCGTACTGTCGTTACCTTTATAAAATCGGTTACCGGTAACTGGTATTCGAGTTATACCATAACTGTGGGCCGAGGGGTTAGTTTTCGGGCGCCTTCGGTATTGTGATTAAAATTTTTTTCGTTCCGTCTCCGTTGTTTATACGTTTGTTTGCTTTTCACCCTCTGTGGAGCGTTTGGATCATATTGTAATTCCCTTACAATCTAATATATATACATTTTTATGTGTCATTTTACTCTAAAGGGTGAACAACATTTGTAATTTAGTGTATTTATTTCTAAATTTACTTACAAAATTACGGTATATTGACTGTTCAGTTATTCTTCGGCGTCGCAGAAACGTAACGGAAAACCGAAGTTTTTGAACAGGAAAATGAGCGAAGAAGAACAACTTCCGACCGGATGGGAGAAGCGAGTGAGCCGATCCACCGGTATGTTATTTAATGTGGAATTATTTTGAAATAAATGTCTTTTATCTGTAATTAATGATGGAATTTAATATTTTCAAATTGTTAATATTACTTAAGTTCCTTGTTGTGCAATTTGAGTAGATTTTGGATCTTAGCAGTGTTAATATATGACCATTTAGGTGTTTGGCTGAGAAGAGAGACTTATGAATTATTCAATATTAAATACTATTGCATTTGTTTTTAGTAAATTTGAGTATTATCTTAGTTTATTCAACCATTATTTCTAGCTTTAATATTCATATTTTGTTGTTAATATTTAATTATTTGTAAAAAGTTAATGACAGATAATAGGCATTTATGACAAACATTTTATGGTTAATAACAAATGTCTTATAGGTATCATATTATTAATAATAATGTATATAATTTTAATTTGACCTTTCTATATGTTAAATTTCATACTGTTATATTACAAAATATATAAGCAATAAACTAATAAAATAAAGAAAGTTATAATTGGAGGTATGCATTATACAACTTCAAAAATACACTTAAGATTCTTATACTTTAATGCATTAACGTAATATGTACCTACCTATTAATTTTTTTTTAATCATTTAAGTATCTAGCAATCTAAATGTTATGATTAAAAAAAATTGCTAATTTTATTGAAAATAAAAAAACTATATTTTATATTTCTATCAAACCTACTAGAAATAAAATTAAAATAATTTAATTTATTTAGTTAGGAATCTATTTACAAATTGTAAAAACTGTTATAAAACGTGCAGTTTATATCTATGTTAAATAAAAAATATTTCATAAAATGTAGTAAAAAAAGAATGCATGAAAAATGCAAAATAAAAATTAAAAAAATTCATTCTTTGTTAAAAACATAGTTTAAACTGTGTGTTAGAAAATCAGTTACATAAGCTAAAAAAATAATGCATTTTTCCACAAATCAAGGGCCATAACTATAATCTTTTACTACTTAATTTTTAGAACATAATATATTATACTTAATATTATTTGTAAAAATCTAACAATACTTGGTGAAAGAATTTTTATTATGTATTCAAACAAATTAATTAATTTACTCAAATAATTTAAACATTAATTATTAATCTAACCCTAATTTAATACGTTGTTAACATATGTTACAAGTAGGTTACGGATGTTGTAGTACTAAAAAATTAGTGAAATTGATTGCAATATTGCACTAAAAAATAACCTTTTGTCATAAATGTTTTAAATTTACTGTTATAATCTAAAATTTCACAAAAAAAAATATAATATGTAGGTGTATAAATGTATTTTACAACTATATTATACATAATTTAATCATACCATTTTCAATATGGTGTGAAACTGTATAACTTCATTTAACACTTACTTTTGTTTCACAACATTTTCAGAAAAGTACGAATACAATTTGTACTATTTCGTAAAAATTACCAAGTTCTAAAATTTAATTTCTTACATCTGTTAAAATAGTTGGCTTAGTTTTTGACATATGTATCAAACAATAACAGAACACAATCGCTTAAAATCCACAGAGTGACTGAAGAACAGATTATAACAATATAACGTGTGATTGACAAATAGTCATATTTCATAAATTATTTTTATGTTGTATTAAATACCTACCAACTTGAAATTATCTTTATTTTATAAGATAACATTATTAGATATTATAGCTGGTGGTATTAAAATATAATCTTATCTATAATATGACTGTCGAGATTCGACCATAACTAAAATAGTCGTATGAATGAGTAAATTCAATAAAAATCCAAAAATTGCGCTTAAAACTTAAGGATTTTAGTTCATATACTTAAAACATACTAAGCAATAAATTGTATAAGTAGAAAAAAAGTTGTAAATGCAATAACATCTGTGTTCTAGGTATAAGTTATTTCAGTATATAGGTTTACATTTGTAATGTAACAATTAACATAATATTAAATGTATTTTGAAGTAGAATGATGAATAAAGACATTTAACATAATATTTTTTTTATTTCATTTCTTTTTTTGCTGCAATAGGTATACCAAAATTACACTTTTCTCAAAATCAAAATTCTTTCTTCTAGGTTACCTAATATTTCAGTTTAAACACATTATTACTTTCTTAATTTAAAGAGGAGAGTATTTTTATGGTACTATTATTTTATGATTTTTGTAAAGTATTATTTAACAAAAAAATTAGATACAAATGTTAGAAAGAATATACTCTATTTAAAATAAAAAGATTAGACTTAAAGATGACTAATTTTTATCCGTAACTGTCTGATATCATTAATCTATTATTACCATCTAGTCAAATGTCTGTATGCTTGCTACTTAGTCAAATCATGTCTATGTGCAGTATTGGGTTTCTGGATTTTTATGAATATAGTATAAAAATAATCATAAACATTGTACAACTTTTTTTTTAAGACAATATTATCACAGAGAAAATGTTTTTCTTTTCAATTTTGATAAGACGTTTAAACTCTATTATTAACTGAGACGCCATAATTTTGATTTTGTATTGAAAATTTTATTTTGTTATTCAATTTTATACCATAAACGGACAGTATAATATACATACATATTTGACAAGAAATCTTTATTATTATTTCTTCATTGTTTTATAATCTCAAATCTGATTCCTGAAAAATGCCTAAATGTGTTCTTAACAGTTATGTACCTACTCTTTAACCATTTATATATTGGGGTATCTGTGGGTCTTCTTTATAAATAATATTGTTAATAGATATATCAAATATATTTTTAAAACTAATAATTTTTTCTTTAAATTCTTTGATTTTTATAAAAATTACAGCAAAAGGTTAAAACAAATTAAAGATACTATAGATTGTAATTTAAAAAAATGCTTAGATTTAAGTAATTGATTTATTTTTTCCCTTCAAATCAGATTCTCTTTTATGTATGTTAAACGTTAATTTTGATATCTATCTTGAATATTTTTATCGTAAGGTATTAAATAGTTTTAGAATAATATGAATAAATAAATGTATGTAATTAATTTGATTATAACTTTTCAGGTCAAACTTATTATTTGAACTTATTAACTAAAGAAAGCCAATGGTCTGTACCAACTAAACCAGCATCTGAAAATACAGCCTCAACAAATTCTGGCCCCGAACAAGTACAATGTAGTCATTTATTGGTTAAACATGAAAAATCACGTCGTCCATCATCGTGGCGAGAAGAACGCATTACTAGATCAAAATCTGAAGCAATTGACATTATAAAATGTAAATATATCTGTATTTAGTTTATTATATTTTGACGATTTTTAATAAAATTTAAATTATATATATTTACAGCTTATCGCGAACAAATTGTTTCTGGAAAAGCATCATTTGCTGAACTTGCCCAGAAATATTCAGATTGTAGTTCGGCCAAACGTGGTGGTGATTTGGGACCATTTACCAGAGGCACAATGCAAAAGCCATTTGAAGACGCGTCATTTGCATTAAAAATTGGAGAGCTTAGCGAACCTATCCATACTGATTCTGGTGTACACATAATTTTACGTACAGCTTAGATCAAGAACAATTGTTTTCTTTTATAATTCAAACTTTTACCTTTTCTAATTTATTGTTTATTTCTGAGACACAATAATATTATGTATTGGTTGCCTTATTTAATATTGATTGCCATTTATAAATATTTTGTTTTTTATTTTTTATTTTCAACTGCAATAATTGTTTCTTCAGTAAAAATAATATTATAATAATATAAACAAAATTTCGAACAGTTATAGTTACTAGATATTTATGACGGTTTTTAATTATTATGCTGCTTATATTTTTTTTTTGTTTCTAGAACAATATTGTGATATTTAAATTTCTGTTTTCATATCCTAACTGTTCATTTGATAAATGTTACTTATCTTACTCAATTTTCTTTATGCTATCATTTAAACCAACTGTTCAACTGTAATAAATTTTTATATTACAGTTTTCTAAATTTCTATATTACATTTTAAATAATTGACTGTTGTATATTTTAACTATCTATCATCAGTCATAATTTTTGCCATAGTTATGATTGCTAATTTTATCAAAATATTATTTCATTTTCTTCTGGCGTACTTGTGAAAATATCATTGTTTTAAGTATTTTGTTTTAATATTAAATTAATCAACTCGTCTATTATTGTTTTGTTTTATATTGCAGCCAATAAAACATATTATTTATATCCCATTCAAAATAATATCAGAATTGGGTGACAACTAGTTTTTGCTGGTAAATGTCAAATCAGGTCAAGTCAACTGTTTCTCAATAAAACTTCACTCTTGTGCACAAATTGGCTACCCAAGACTGATTTTATCTTGAATAGCATTTAATCTGTCCATTGTTTTAGTAATATTAATTTAACAAAAAATTTTATTCAAAAACATTTTACTTAAAATTATAATTTAAAACATTAATTCACTTAAAACTCGCAGATTAAAAATAAAAGTCATACATTTATTAATAAAATGATTTACTTTATTATGAACCAACATATAGATAATACTTTTCAAAAAATTATCAAAATTTGTAGTTCTGTTGACAAATATTGGCATTGATAATTTAATTTTTAGCTATTATTTTCAAGATGCAGTCATGTGTATCTGATTTAATTGCTAATATCTATTATAATAAGTATGTGTACATAACTGAATACAAAAATATATTTAAATCGTAAATAGAGAACTTTATCTGTGATGTAGCATTTTAATTTATTGAATTCACTAAATATGTTAAATAATTTATAGACATTTGTTAATTTAAGACTTTTGTACATATTAATTGAGTTAAATTATTAAAAACAATAGCTACATCTAAGTTTCCCTCTATAACGCATTTTGGATACTTAACTCATATTTTTAAATTTTAATTAGGTTAGTTATGTTAATAAAACACTTTGTTTAAATTAATAATTAATTAGTTAAAACTCAAAACAAAGATTTGAAGTTTTCATCAATCATTTTTAGTCATGATTTTTAAAATATTTTGGCTGTTTTTGAGCTATTTACTGTAGACATTTGAAGTTTTTGATTTATAATAATAAAGTTGTTGAAAAAATTGGAAACGAAATAAAAAGTTCCTCATAAGTTAAATAGGTTTTTATGCACTAAAAACTATTGAAAAATTCCATATAATTAACAATTTAATATGCAATATATTTCGAATTTTGTGAAAATATACAAATAAATTATATTCAATTCATGATTTATGAAGATAACTGAAAAATCTAAAAAAAGTGAAAAGGTAAAAATATGAAATTGCATAGAAATCCGTGCTTAACTCATAAGTTATTTTTACAGCAATTAAAACTATTGAAAATACATTGTTAACTAACTATTTTTTTTATACATGTTAGAAGAAGAAACTTTGACAAATTCAGATGTTTAATCATCAATATTATCATTAATTGTAGATTTTTATACTTTCGTCTTTGTACAAACTTGTATACCAGGGGTGATGGCTGTCACTCCTTTTAAATGGGTGTATATAGGCTGTTAGGTAACTAAATACTTTCTTGAAAGATTTGTATTTCGATGAATAGTTCTTGTATTTGATAATATATTAATACAATTAAGTACCTAATGTGTAATGATGAAGTACTGAAGTAGGTACAATGAATTGTTTACATTTTATATCTAAAAGAGATAAGTAGATAGTATACATAATTATTGGTAGCAGTAATAATTAAACTGAGTTTCTAGTTTTATATCCATCTTGTCTATTTTATTTTGTCACACAATACATAAACGCATAAACCCTGTATTAATTTTTTGTTCATGAAATGAAATTATTTTTTGTATGGAATATCATCTTCAAATTATGAATAAGTTAATTCTGTACAAAAGTTATGGATTTTATGTCAACTAAGGGGTGACAGTTATATATATAAAAAAAGTAAAACTCATCTTACTTATGCATATTTTTCAAATATTTTGTTTTTAAAATGTAACAATAAACAAATAAAAGTTTTACAAAAAAAAGAAATTAAAATTAAATTAAAAAATAAACTAAATATTTTGAAAATTATATCATGTATAGAAAATAATATGATAAATATTTGTGGAAAATTTAAGTCTCTAATGTAAATAAGTTTTGAATATATAATAATAAAAAAAATAAAACTGTCATTTTCAAAAACTGATATGCATAAAAATTTCTATTTTTCATAACTTTTTTATTTTTGTTTTTCCTGGTTATGCTCATAAGTACTGGGAAGCTTTCAACTCTTTAAAATACCTATAAACAAGATCTAATTATCTACCAGAACTATTTGATATTTTAGATTCTAGAATTTTTGCTAGATATAGTTTGTAACACTATTACCTACATTAAAACATTAATACCTACGTTATTGTGTATTGAATTCGACATCATTGGTTAGTGGATGATAAATCGATAATGAGGCAATTCTGAATATAGTATTCTCTTATGCAGTCGAACCTTGCAGTATTCTCTTATGTTGGTTAATAGAAACTTTAATAGCGGTTGCTACGTTTGTACACTTTTCGACAGCTTTCAGTCGGTACTTTTCGCTTGAGCTTATGGATAATCCACCGAGAAGTAAGAAAGACCCTTTAGACTTGTTTTTTTTGGATGCCTATACAAATATCATATAATAAGTCTACTTTTTAAATTTTTTTGTTTGTACATTAGGTATAATAATACAATATTTAATTATCGTTGATTATAAATAGTATTTATAATACAACTTTAAACATAATCTTTCATACATAAATAAAACAGAATCGATTTCATCATATGAATTTTGGCATTTATTTTCTAGTGTCTCAGTGTCTGCAATGTGGAATTTAAAAAAACATAAATTAATTTTTCTAAAAAACTCTAGAATATAGATTAATACAAGAGTTGAATGCTCCCAGATCGGATTATATCGAATTTAAAGATTAGAACCGTATAATATACATGATATAATATTATGTAAGTACTTACTATATATACCGTTAACTGTCTACAGATATCTTAAATTTGACGTTTGTAATTTCGTTTTTATCAATAATTTCAAAGAGAAGTACGCACAATATATTATTTTAAACTTTTTAGGTATAACATTATTATTAGCACTCAGCAATCAGCTGTCACAAAAATTCGATAAAATGATAATCAATTTCATTATCGTCGAAAAAATAGTTTACGATTTTTATTCCTGATCGTATGAGCTATAACTGTAAACATTTATAATGAATCAATTGTGAGCTTATGATTCTTTAACCATGATTTAGTAGTCTATGATTAATCTATTAAAGTCTAATGATAAGTGAACCATTAAATTAATCAATTTTCAATTCATTCCAGTTTTAGTATGATTAAACTAAAATAATAACTTGGACGTTCCTTTTTTCCTTATTACAGTATACGAAACTGAACAAAATTAGTATACTCTAGCAGTCGGGCCTCGTGATTATTAAAATAAAAGGAACATTTTATAGGCAACTTTATATGCATTCAGGACTATTTCTTAGTGTTAAAGTCGTAAAAAATGATCACTATAGTTTCTCGAGTGAGCATAGATACGGCCAATATAGGTATTATTATAATAAATTGTAAACGTATGGAATACTATTTTTTTTTTGCATTTACATGTCACCAATCTATTTAACGATTACGAAAAAATGTCCTATTTTCATTCCAATGGTTAATTCTAATAACTCTAATAATACCTACGTAAAAATACTTAGTTCAGTTTTCATTTTCAAAATAATATTCGATTTCTCCATAATATTTAAATTTGAATGATCTAAATTCAATTTAGATTTTAAATAAAATGTTGAATGTATTGATTTTAAAAATGTACAATGGTGTGTGTGTGTGTGATTTTGTTTTTGTGAATGATGTGTAGGCACTTGACTTATTGTAGAAAAAATATTTTAATTTTTAACATCAATATATTTTTTAGTATATAAGTGGATCTAATTGATACTTATGGGAGGTAAAAATTAAAATTCCCTGTACTTTTTAATATAATCGGGAAATATGAAAAAAAAAAAATTTGAAAATTTGCATACAGTTTTTGACAAAATCGATTTTTTTATTTTGTCGTATCTTACTAAAAAAAAAAAAAAACAAAATATACTATGGAAAAATTTTATTCTCATATTCCAGAAACACTGTAACATCCATTAAATATTGCAGTGTTTAAATATTTGTTTTATGCCCTAAGGAAATCGGTACCTCCTAATGTGCATGAATCGTTGTAAAATAACTTGAAATAAATTTCAACGGCCGTTATTATTTACTTTACAATATGGGTGTTAGTTTTTATTTTAAAAACAAAGTTTTGAATTAGAATTTTTTAAAACTTAAGATTATTAATTAATAATAATATTGTATTATTATTTCTAAAAGAGGTAGGGTAGCAGATAAGTACCTGTATTTCATAATATGTACAATGTACATTGTACATACGCAGTATGTATAGTGATGTGTATATCGTTTCGATTTAATGAAGGCCAATATTGATATTTTATTATAACTCTATGTTATTTTATTGTCTTTTTCTCTTGTCATCAATCCCAAGGATAAAGGACTTTATATATATATATATACATTAAGTTAAAATTATATATTAATAAATTAGTTAAATAATTTATTAAGT